AATGTGACTTTTCATATAACTTGAGGACAAGTTACAAAAAACACATTTTAGAATCAACTCTTAGATTAATTTGTATTGAAAACAACTATTTCACTCAACTTTTATATTAATCTAAGCAACTCATAAGAACAAGATAATTCAAATCAAACTTTTTCATGTAATTAGTCTAAACCTTAAACTAATACAAAACATGAATCTATTGACAATTATCTTTGAAATTGGATTAGCATGAACATTATCACATCAAAAACAAGTTTATAAGTTCAAAAACATCTTAGGGTAATGTTCCTAGTCCAATTCCAGCCAAAAAAAAAAAGTCGAATTTATGCTGTCCAGGGGTCCAACTCGTCGAGTGCACGAACCAACTCGGCGAGTTTGATGCTTTTTGCCTTGGACTCGGCGAGTCTGCTGGGCAGACAGCATCAAAACTCGATTTTTCAGCTTCATTTGCAAGTATAACAAGAAAACAAGCCTATGCTCTGATACCACTGTTGGGTTTTAAGCATTCTAACACTCCTAAGTGTACATGCCCTTTTAAAGGGTTTTTGGGAAAACTTTTAAAATAATTTTTGGAGTGAAAAATTGTTTGATAATTATAAAAGATCTTTTAGAATGCTTTTTGACAAGAAAAAAAATATATGATTTTAAAAGTTAGAATTTAAGACTTTGAGTGATTTTTGGTGTTTTAGCACTTGCTAAGCAAACGCATTTTAAAACTTACTTTAAGTAAAAAGCCTTTTTTATTGATTTTTTTTTTTTTTTTTTTTTTTTGAAAATGACTTAAGGTAAAAACAATCCCAAATAACCCCCCGTAAACTTCGTAACTTGTGAAATGCATAATATGAATATGAATTCCAGGCGTTTATCGATGAATGGAATCAAAAAACCGTAGGTGATTGCCAGTGAGGTTCGATGAGCACGTAGCGCCTATTATAGAAATGGAATCACTCAGAACAAAGTCGTACTTTTTTGTAGAATCAATACAATTAAAATACCCACTTCGAAAGAGGATCAACAATCCATAAGTGAGAGAGAAAACCCGATGGGCGGCGGCGGCGGTGGCGGAGGCGGTGGTGTCCTTGGAATTCTGCTGGACAGCTCTGTTATTTTGGACTCCACCTCAAACGACAATGAAACTGCATCACTTCGCTCCGGAGTTGACTATTTACTTCGCAAGCTTCGCCATTCCAACATTCCGACGGTAACTCTTTCTCTCCGGCCACCCTTCTCCGTTTCTCTGATTTCTCCGATCTTTTGGTGTGCATGCAATTCGTGTACTCTTTTACCAATTTCATCTTTTTAGGTTCTTTGACATTATTCCTTTAAATTGATTGAATTGTAATGTGGAAAAATACCTCTAATTGTCTCGATAACCCATGGATTCTTTTGTGAATCCATTACTCCTTATTCTTACATTCATACCCATGGAAACAGTGACGAACGAGGGAGAGTCGCTACTCCCCCCAATCCAGTTCTTCCAGTTCACCTTTTGGTTAACAAAGATCTTTATACGATTTATTCCCCAAACTAATCAATTTGTAAACTTCAATTGATCGATCATTGCGATTTGAGATATGAGAATTCAGATGATGAGTTGCTTAAAACCACTCTTTAACCTTGGATACATCAACAACCAATCTCATGTATAATCTTGCTTATTTCATCTTTTTTGGTCAGCATTTTAACTTTCATCTTTCCTTCTGTACAGGGAATATGTTATGCAGTAGGTTTTCCAGAAGCAAAGGTAATAATACTGTATCAAGATGATTTTCATGAATCGAATCTTTTATATATTCTGTAAGAAATATAATAAGTGTGTTTCATATTCTTATTGTAGGTGAGCCTTCTTGAGAAGCTGATTTGTGAATTCTCATTTGAGAGATTCATCTACAATCGATCTTCCATAGATGACACTGTAAATGTGGTTTCTCAAGCTTGGGAGAACAATGGTGGGAGTATTTTGCATGTGGTTTCAAACAACTTTGAAGGGATTCTTCCAAATGCATCTAATTTTGATTGGATGAATGTTGTTGTAAGTAAGTAACTAGACTTTAGAAGAAAGCTCACTTTAATCTTATATCAACACAAAGTCTTTTTCTTTTTTCGACTGAATGAACTGTCTGAATGTGAGTAAATGACCATTTTACCCTTCTGAACTAATGAAATGATCTAGATGGCAATGGTGATGGCTTGAGTAAGGATCAAAATGGGATTTGTATAAAGAAACTAGAAGAGTTGCCTATGATAATATGCGAGTTGAATAAAAAGGTAATATTTATGTCTCTTTCCACAATTCTCAATAACAAATTTCTTGTGCTTTTTTGAAGTCTATACAAATTCTTTGGTAGAGGAGTTGTTTAGATTGTTGTTCTTTGTTTCCATTATTTTGAATATATAAAAAAGAAAATCAAGAATCATATTTTTCTTTTGTTCTTTGCTTTCAAGTAGTCAAGTGAAGATAACATGGTTGTGGGTTATATTATGAAGCCTTCTCGTGAAGCAGATTTTGCAAAGGTGAGATTTTTTTCATTTTCTTTAAAATTCTAAACACTAAGAGTGACTATAAAACTTTAAATGTGCATTTATTCAACACCATTTTACCCTTTTCCTAGTTTATGCAATAGTGTTTCATTTTAGGGCCAAAAAGTGAAACATTTTTACATAAATTGTTAGACAAAAGAAACTTTATAACATAAATTGCTATAAAAAAGCAGAACATTGTTGCATAAATGCACATTCAACCCAAAAATAATGTAAAATTTTGTTATTGTAACATTGAAAACTAAATAATATCATCTTTTTGTTTTCAGAGAGGTGCATTTCCACTAAACCCTACCCAAAATGGCTTGATATTTTTGCCTCTCACATTTGATCTCCCGATTTTATCACAATTGAAAAAAGTGGACATTATTATCCATAAAGCAACCGATGAAATTTCATCAATTGAAAGAAGCAATTCTTGTAATTCCTCTAGTAAGATCATTTACACCACAGGAATGCTGGAATTACAGAGGTAAACTTTATAAATATTATCAACTTTTTCTATATGTATATATAATTCTTAAGATTTGACTTAATCTGATAAGCTATATACAAGTGTTTCTTTTGTTTTTTACCTAATACAGATCAATTTATCTATTTTACAAATTTGCCCTTGTTTTAGGTGTATAGGTGAAGTTCCAGATTGCTGTGTGATCGATCCATTTGATAACATTTTTCCAGTTGTGGATCGATTAAGAATTCAAGAAATCTTATTAGGATTGGTTGAACTTAAAACAGAAAGTCAATGCAATATCAGAGGACCTTATTTTCTAAAGGTTTTCTAACATTATAAAATATTTTATATATTATTCGTTTCTATGCATGATAAATTGTTTTAATTCACTCAATATTTATATGTTTTCAGGTTGATAATTTTGAGGATGTTGAATTGGAAAAAAGGCTCCATGATGCTAAGTTATGTCTACCAAGTATTGTAAAACCTCAAGTTGCATGTGGTGTAGCTGATGCCCATAGTATGGTAATATATATTATTTTTCATTAAATAATTTTTTTTAAAAAAATAATTAAGAAAATGACCTAATTGCATTATGTATATGAACAGGCTATTGTCTTTAAAGCTGCTGATTTCCCAGGTTTAAATGTTCCTCTTCCAGCAATTGTGCAGGTATGCCATTTAATTTATTGGCTGATAGGGGTAAATTTGGTATTATCTTTTTTTAGGGTTCCTTTTGGGGCATTGTACTATTTTCACTATGTGTGCTTGTTTTACATTTAGACTTTTGTTTCTTGTTTCTTTTTTCCTTATCTGGAAAAACAATGCTTAAAATAAAGTTGAGAAAATAGAAGTTAAATAATAAATGAAGGAAATTTTGTAAACAATATTCTCCAACTCTTTGTTTAAACGAGTTAAAAAGAATCTTGAATTGAAATTACAGGAATATGTGGATCATTCATCAACTCTTTTCAAATTCTATGTTTTGGGGGAAAAGGTATTTTATGCAGTGAAAAATTCAACACCAAATGCCAAGATCTTGAAGAAATCATCTGAAAGCAATCAATTCAAACCTCTACTATTTGACAGGTATTACATGATATATTGTTGTTTCCAAAATCCAAAATTGATTCAAGAATTTGATTTAAATTACCATTTCTTACAGTTTAAAATCTCTGCCTACTGATGGAAACAAGAAGCCTACAGAGATGAAAGAACAGAATCTTGATCTTGATCTTGTTACTGATGCTGCAAATTACCTTAGAAGTGTTCTTGATCTCACAATCTTTGGCTTTGATGTTGTTGTGAGTCACCCTATGAACCCTAAAATGAAAAAAAGATTTGCAAAATTGATCGATTTTGAGCTGAAATTTCAAGTACAATGATAATATTTGAATCTTTATTTCAAAGTTTGATCCAATCACTCATTTTTGCAAACTGGTAGTGTTTTCTTGGTATTTTCTCAGTTTAATTATAAGTTGATTATGATATTCATGATGTTAAATGTTATTAATATTTTAGATTGAAGAGGGGACACGAGATCATGTTATTGTGGATGTAAATTACTTGCCATCATTCAAAGAAGTGGCTAATGATGTTGCAATTCCTTCATTTTGGGATGCTATCAAGATGAAGTATCTTTTGTTTAGAAAGAGAGAGAATGAGAATTGTGTTTCATAGTTATATAATGTGTAAGCTAGAGATAAAGATGATTATTAATCTTTTGTTATTTGAACCTTTTTTTGAAAAATGTCTTGTTGTAGCCACTAAACAGATTGAAAGCATGTTTTAACAAAGAATCACAATACAATTGTTGTTTGCAATCTTGTGATCTTTGTTTATCAAGTGTAGTCTTGGTGTTTAAAAAAGATTTATGAATATGATGCAAAAGAAACTCATATATAACTTATTTATGTGTTTCTTTCTGTCATTTACTGATATATGGATAAATAATGTCAATTGAAATAAGTTTTTGTATGGACAAAGATTGTTGCTATTTTGGACCAAATTAAGAGGACTGGAATAATATCGAATAAAAGATGTTTGTCATTAATAATCCTTGTAAATGTGAAATTAAAATAAAAAGAACAAAAGAACACATTCTCTACTTTTGGTCAAAATAACAGTAATATTTCACAAGAAATTACAAACACGAATGCAATTACATCAACAGAAATGATGTTTGGCTTGTTAGGGTTGTTAGTTGGGATTATCTGATCTTTGCTTTCTTGGTGATTCGATCATTTTGAAATGTTTTTCCTCTTTTGTTATGGAGCTTTCCCTTTTTCAACTGTTCTTTTTTGTGTTTTATCCTATTAGGGTTTCTCTTCTGAAGACAAGATAAATGAGAAAATGATTAGATGTAAAAAATAGCAACATAATTTCATTGATGTGTTTGTTATAGCATTAGCATCCTATTTTTTTTATTTCTTCCTATCACAGCATTGTACTTTGAAAAATACAATCCTTTAATAAGAAAAAAGTTCAAAGTAAAATGTTATAGTAAAATTGAATAAAAAAAAAATCAATGAGGGCAAATTCGTATAAAGTTAGAACTTCATAGGAAAAAAATTAAATGCAGGAAATAGCGACGTACTTTCATTAATTGTTTATTATGTCATCCTACTTTCATTTCTCCATATTACAACATTGTATATTGAAAAGTCTACCCATTTATAGCAATTATTATATATACTCTTTGGCTTTCAAACTTTAGCCACAACACTTTTCTATATTGACAGGTTGGGTACCTACACATTTTGGGTTTCAGACTTTGACCACAACACTTGTATATTGACAGGTTTTGTCCTTAATTGACTAATTGTCATGTTTGGTCCCTAGACTTTTTGGGTTTCAAACTTTGGCCATAAGACTTTCGTATATTGACAGGTTTGGTCCTTAGACTTTCGTATTTAGCATGTTTGGTACCCGCGCAAAGCGGAGGTAAGATCACTCTAGTTACATCTAAATGCAAAGCAATTTTCACTATTATAATTGAGTACATTAACATGTCTTACAATGCGCTTTTTCATGCTCATGTATAAGTCCATGACCAACAACTTGTGTTGCGAAGCACTCGTCTCTCCCGGTAACGCCTTGCAATCAATACACGCCTTACGGTCCCATTTTCGCAAAAGGAGGTAGTCATTTTGACTATTACACCCTTCACTATGAAAGGTAATCAAATGCGCATCCCTCTTTTTAAAAAAGGAGTTTGCAACCACCAAATCGTGTGCAGTTGCAAACTCTAGTAACCTATGTCCCTCATCGTTCCTAGTACCAAATCCAAAACCACCGTGCACTGTCTCATATCCATCGGCCTTTTTTCCTATATGTCCATTGAAGTCTCCCCCTAAGAATATACATTCATTGATAGGTATACCTTTTACTATATCATCTAATGATTCCCAAAAACTCCTCTTTATCGAATCTTCTAGCGTGGGATGTGGTCGATGTTCACCATCTTTCTTTCTACTGCTACTTTGATCGCAATGATCCTATCACAACATCTTTTAACTTCTAATACGTTGTCTTTGAGGTTTGTTGATATCAAGATCCCTACACCGTTTATTGCGTTCTCTAGTCCTGCATGCCACAACTTATACCCGTTACACTCGAGTGTAGCTTCCTCCTCCTTCCACTTGGTTTCTTGTATGCATGCGATGTCCACTTTCCTTTTTCTTAATGCATTTGTCAATTTCAATAACTTATCATTCAATGTTCCAACATTTATGGTGCATATTCGTACTTGGCCTTTGAGATGAGGCCTTTTTGGAAGCTGCTCAAACCAAAACCAATAAATAAAGATATTAGATGGTAAACAATAAATATTAGAAGGGAAATGTTGAATGATATAAAGAATAGTTAATAAATGGTAAATAGTAAATAGTAAATAATAATTGAAATACGATACGTGGTACTAAATAGATGAGACATAAAAATATGTAACAAATTATAAGTAGGTAATACAAAATAGATGATAGAGACTAGCAAGTTGTAAAAATTTAATACGTAATATGTAGTAGATGTTAAGTATTAAGTACTAAGTAATGCATATTAGTCGGTTAAAAAGGTTAAATTTTAAATAATAGATAATAGAAAATATTAAATAGTTAAAAGGTGCTATCAAATAATAACTAAAAGCAAAGGCTCATACAGGAATAGATAGATCGGCAACTTCACAAGCCAATTGAGCTTGTTTTGCATGTAATTCTTTTATTTCCTACAAAATAAAAGCATATTTTAGTTTCTCATTTGATTGTAAAATGTGATAGATTTCTCAACATACAATGCTTTAATAAGAAAAGAAATTCAAAGTATAATGTTATAGTAAAATGAAATGGAAGCAAGATGATATAATACACAAATAAATGAAAGTACATTGCTATTTCTTACATTTAGCCTTGAGAAAATGTTGGCATGCTTAGGAAATGGAAGAAATAGCAATGTACTTTTATTGATTGTTTTTTATAGCATCCTACTTTGATTTTCCCATATTCCAACATTGTACTTTGAAAATTCTACCCAATTATAGCAATGTCATTCAAATACAAAGCAATTTTCACTGCTATAAATGAGTACACATTTACAACAACCTCTCTTGCAATGTGCTTTATCATGCTCATGTATATTTCCATGATCAACAGTCTGTGTTCCGAAATGCAAATCTCCCCCGTTAACACCTTGCAATCTATGCACGCGCCAAGGTGTCGTTTCCGCAAAAGAAGGTAGTCATTTTGAGTGTTTTTCCCCTCACTCTCAGTCTGAAAGGTAATTAAATGCGCATCCTTCTTTTTAAAAAAGGAGTTTGAGACCACCAAATCGTGTGCAGTTGCAAACCCTAGCAGCCTGTGTCCCTCTTCGTTCCTAGTGCCATGTCCTAAACCACCGTGCACTGTCTCATACCCATCCGCCTCTTTTCCTATATGTCCATTGAAGTCTCCCCCTAAGAATATACATTCATTCATAGGTATTCCTTTTACTATATCATCTAATGATTCCCAAAAACTCATCTTTTTTGACTCTTCCAATGTAGGATGTGGTGCGTACGCAGAGATAACGTGCACTACTTCTTCCTCTACCACTACCTTAATTGATATAATCCTATCGAAACATCTTCTAACTTCTACTACATTGTCTATAAGATTCTTTGATAGCAAGACTCCTACACCATTTACAGTGTTCTCAAGACTGGCATACCACAACTTATAGCCATTACACTCAGTGGTTTCCGCCCCCTTCCACTTAGTCTCTTGTATACAAGCAATGTCTACTTTCCTTTTTCTTAATGCATCGGTTAGTTGCATCAACTTATTCTCATCCATTCTTCCTACATTCAAGGTACATATTCGTATATGACCGCTATCACTTGTTATTTGAGGCTGCTCAACCGAAAATCCAACATCAATAAATAAAGTCGTTCAGATAGTAAACAATATATATATTAAATGGAAAATATTGAATAATAAATAATCATTTGAGTTATGAGGCAACAAAAAAGAAGTGGTTTGCGAATGATGTGATTTACCGAAACAATCTTATTTTCAAGGAGCAAGAGAAAAGGAAGATCCAATATTTGAATCCGAAATTTCTATTTCTAACTCTTGGATTTTGATTAGGTGTAAAAATAATTTATAGCAAGATAAGCTTAAGAGTAATATATAACCATATATGTAAAATACTTCAAAGGTGATAACAAAAATAATTAAAAGTAAAGGCTCTTACATAGAGAGGCCGGATCGTTTTCGCATATAATTGAGTAGATTTTCCAAAAGAAATAAGAAAAAAAAATTGAAATAGAAAGAAATAAAAGTACATTGCTATTTAACGTACCTTACAACGTAACATGGATGTCTCTTCTTCCTTGGATTTTTTCACACTTGTGGGATAGTTCTTCTTACGATCCTCACGCCACTGCTTAACTTCTTCATCCATGTAATTAAAAGAGCATACTTTTCTATAAATGACAAGTTTACCCTTATTAAAAACACAAGCTGTATTAATTCGTTCTTTCTGTATTAAGTCAAAAAGATGCATTCATGTATAGCTTATTAGATTGAATCTTGTGTTCATTTATCATGTCGTAATTTAGTTGGTAAAATACAAGTAAAGAACTACAAGTTAAACATTGAAGCGCAAAGAAATTACTTTTTTTTAAAATTGGTGGAATTTCGAGGATGCGAATTTACTGAAGCATTGCTCTTACCCTCTGATATTTAAGAATCAAAACGAATAATGATTAGTGAAAGAAGTGCATCAACTAACTATGAGGTGTTGATCTTTATTCATATTGGAAATGCACAATGTTGTAATAGAAAGAAAGAAGAGTATATGTTGGTGTAATAAACAAAAGTATATTGTTTTTTCATACATTTAACCTTTTTCTTAAAATTAAAAACTAACTCTATACAACAAAGAAGTGCATCAACTAACTATGAGGTGTTCACCTTTATTCATGTTTCCATTTTTGACATGTTTTGCATGCTGAAACTGGGATTTATATCTGTACACACTCGAGCTTTATGCGAATTAACAATTCATTTAGTGAAGAATGAAAAAGAGATTATGAAGCTTATTAAGCATAAAACATACCCTTTACATGAAGTGTGATTCTTTTTATTTCCTGTGAAGTTCTTGGGTTGAGACAAAGTTCCTTTTGTGTCCTGTTCATAGCATTCTGAATTTAAAGCGAATATATTGCTCTACCACAAAAAAAAACCTATCATGCTTTCTACTACTTATGGATTATCTCAACAAAATCCAGCTAATTTAGCTTCAGATTCTATAAACAAGTTGTATGACAAAATAGATTTGTGACTCATATTCTCTTCTAACATCAACTTCATCTTTTGTAGATGGTATAGAAATCAAAGACCTTAGCTAGCTAATTACAAGTCAATAAAGCCAATCAACTTTTAGCATCAATAATTTGATGAGTTTTGTATGCCAGAAAGAAGTACAGACTACAGACTACAGATAAGACAAGAAGAACTGATACCTTAAAATTTGTGATTGTAGGAGAAGGATTATGTGCTTTGACTGAAGTAGAAGCATGGGGTGAATATAAGCTCCCTTGCTGTGAAACAAATCTTTGTTGTTGATTACCATGATGAATAGGGTCATTCATGGGGAAATTGCAACTTTGGGGTCCCACATCTTGAGAAATGTGGTTCTAGAACATGCAAAATTACCAAAAACGAAATAGACATCATTGAGGTTTTGTAGTTTTGACTTTTGATCTATAGACTATAACCAAAACAACACAGCTAAATATGCATACGCAACAGGCTACAGACTTCAACTCCTATCGTTGTCAAAGACCATATGTAAAAGACTTTTTTGTGCTAATGTCCACAAGGGAAATTTGAACATTCTCGCTTGAATTATCTCTTCACTTATACCATAAATAGTTAACTGGTTAACCACAAGACACCTGATGCTAAAATCTCTAAAAATCCCATTTGTTACATCGTGTAAGGCAGCTAGAAATGCTAAGAGACTAAGGATATAAAAATCTTTCAAGCACCAAAGGCAAAAGCTATCCATTTTTTAGTATCAACATGAAGAATACATAGATTACTGCACACCAAAAAGCTGAACATAACAACAAAACTGATACCTGTAAATTATTGGGAGTAGAATGGAAGTTGTGTGATTGCTGTGTTTGAACTGAAACAGAAGCATTGGGTTGAAATTGGTTCCCTTGTAATTGCTGACCCATATTAGGCAAATTGACATCCATCGTTGGTGAATGAAATCTATGTTGTCCTTGATTACCATGTTCAAAGGAGCTTCTACCGAAATTAGACATGCCAAATTGCTGATTTGCAGGAAAACCAGTATTTTGATGACTCGTTGTATTCTTATTATGGATTTGGAACATCGGAAAATTGCCAGGAGGATATTGGGCATAATTGGGGTTTTGTAATTGGAATTGTCTACCAACATTTTGGTTGTATACAGGATGATTCATGGAGTTATTAGCAAAGAACTGGCCATGTTGTTGAGAAGAATTAAACTGGTTTGGAGGAAAGGGATTGTAATTGTGCTGTGGATTGAATCCACCAATACCGTTGGGGAATTGATCCGTAGAACTTCGCAAGGGAATGGGCTGATTAGAGAAATTCATGAAACGAGATGGAGCATCAATTGTCCTGTTATTGGGATATAATCCTCCAACACTACCATTGTACGTTTGCTGATAAATGAGAGAGTTAACCTGTTCATCATTTAATACATGTAATTAGCTCACCATAAACATAAACTTCACATAAAAGTTCATAAGAATACGTTCGTAAACCGAATTGCAGTTATGTTTTGGGAGCCGATGGAGTAATCAGCTAGTTAACAATATGTTCGAAAAGAAAAAGTAGAAAGGGAAGCAGAGCACCTGTTGAACTATGGAAGCAATTGTTGGATCTTGATTGGAGTTATGATGAGGATTCATGATCAAGCACACTGTGGTGAAAATTTCATAAACCTCGTTGTGATTGTTCTTGAATGAGGTCCTTGGACGACAACAAACCTTACATACTGAAAAAGAATTGCAAGGACAAGCGATTTGGTAGGAAGTGTCGAAGTATTTGAATCTTAAAGAACACGTTTACTTGATCTTGCCCTATCGATCACATATAAGATAAAAGAAAATAAATTAACAAGAAAAAGAAAAACAGAGGAAATGATTAGGTTGCGCTTAGTTATGGAAAAACAATATTCATTTTTCGTTATTGTTTTCCCTTTTCGATTTTCGTTTTTCGTTTTCATTTTTCATTTAAAAATTTAGAAAACGTGTTTAGTTAAACTTATTCATTTTTCAATTTCAGTTTTAGAAAATTAGAAAACGTGTTTAGATGTGTATTTTTCATTTTTAGAAAATGGTAGTGGTGGTAGGGTGTAGGTGGGGGAGGTGACGGTAGCGGGTCAACGGCGGTGGTGGTGATGACAGGCGATGGTGGTGGCGGCGGCAATTGTGTAAGTAGTAGTGGTAGTGGTGCTAGTGACGAGTTAGTGGTAGTGGTGGTGGTAATGTTGATGGTAGGTCGGTGATTGTCGTGGTGGTGTTGGGTAGGTGGGGGTGCGAGTGTGTGTTTGTGTGTGTATGTGTGTGTTTGTGGGGGTAGGTGTAGGTTTGTGTGTGTGTGTGGGTATGTATGTGTGTGTGTGGGTTCATGTGTGTGTGTATGCGTGTGGGGGTGGGTATGTATGTGTGTGTGTGTGTTTGTGGGTAGGTGTGTGTGGGTGGGTATGTATATATATATATGTGTATGTGTGTGTGTGTGTGTTTGTGGGTATGTATGTGTGTGGGGGGGGGGGGGTTGGTGTGTGTGTGTGTGTGTTTGTGGGTTGGTGTGTGTGTGTGTGCGGGTGGGTGGGTGTGTGGGGGGTGGGTGGGTATGTGTGTGTATGGGTGGGGTGTTAAGGTAGGGGTAGGTAGAGGTGGATGGGGTGGAGTGGGTGTGTATTTATATTTTAGAAAAATTTTGTAATTAGAAAAATATGGAAAACAATCACTATCAGTTTTCCAAAAATTTCCAACTTCTTTGTAATTTTAGAAAAAAGAAAATTTTCATTTTCTGTGAAAAATTTAGAAAAATAGACGAACTAAACGCGTTTTCAAAATTCTCATTTTTTTTGGAAAAATTTTCCGGAAAACGGTCCATTTTTCCACAACTAAACGCACCTTTAACTTCCCGAGGACAATATTCTGTTTAGTTTTTTTGAAAAAGAAAATCAAAATCATTCATATTTTTAGGGGTGTAAACTAGCCAAACCGAATACTACCAAGCTCGAAACTCGGCCCGACTAAAATACTCGAGCTCGAAACTCGGCTCGAGCCTTGATTTTAAGCTCGAGTTCGGGCTCGTGAAATATTCGAAAGTCTCGAGCTCGGCTCGGCTCAACTCGACTAATATATAAAAAAAATCAAAATCACTAAATTGAGTAAGAAATATTAAAGATTCCACATGTAAATGTCCAAAGTCCAAACTACCAAAAAAACACTATTAATTACTTAATCTCAATATAACATCAACAATATATGTCATAATGAATAATTATAAAGAAATTATATATATATATATATATATATATATATATATATATATATATATATATATATATATATATATATATATATATGTTATAAATGAACAATTATAAAGAAATGGCATATATTTAAATTACACTAATCTCGACTAAGCTCGCGAGCCTTACGAGTTGAGTATTTTTGTACTCGAGCTCGGCTCGATAAAGTACTCGAGTAGCTCGAGCTCGAGCTCGGATCGATTAAGGTCGAGTCAATTTCAGTATGGATTATCGGTCCGAGATGTACTTTTGTGTATGAAAAAATATTTTTTCCTCTCTCTCGAATTCCGAACTTGGTTGTTATTTTTGTCAAAAACAATTTTTTGGTTATTTTTTTCAACTACACATTATATTATGGTTAGATTACTCAATTTCCTAAAATTATTTTTATCAAAAAGATGTTTCAAGCTCTTGTGATTTGTAAAGGTTTGGAGTTTTACCCCGAACAATAATAATGTCTCTGTATCTTCAAGACATGTCGTAACAAACTATAGAATCTCGAGTTCCTTCCAGAAGGACTAGGATGGATCCTTCATAGAGCAACTACTTCATTTTTTGGAAAAATCTTCTATTATTATTCAAAACATTCAAACTTTTCACTCTTTCGGGTCAATTTTGTAATACCTTGTTTCGAGTCGTTTCACAATTTGGGGTCGTGATCTGAAGATAAAGTATCAGGCTTCATCATATGGGGAAGAGAGGCTTAGGCCCATTTGGATGTAGGTAATGTAGCTATGTGAACCAAAAGTTTGGTTTATACCTTGGGGTCAAAGGGTAAAATGGGAAAGTAGTGTTTCAGACTTATTTTATGAAGTAAGGATTTTAGTTCTATGTGTTTTAAGTCAAAAGTAATTAGATGGGCTTGTAGAGCTCCTCAATACCTTTTTGTGGATATAAAGATCGTCAAAAACGGAGTTGGAACGAAGAAGTTATGATCGTTAGAAGTTAGGAAGGTTTTTGACTTAGTCTAGTACGTTGGGCGTACTAGGGCATCCCTGGTATGTTGGGCGTACGCGATCAGTGCTCAAACCCTGTTTTCTTGGTGTGATCCCTATTTAAGATTCTTAACTTCCCCAAACCCATTCCATTATCAGGCTCCACCTCTCCAACACCCTCCCTTGAAAACACTAAGCCTAGTTTGAGCCTTTTGAGCAAAAGAAGGTGATCTTGAGTGCTTTGGAGTGTTCTTAGTGCACCTTAGAGAAGAAGGAGCTCTTTGGAGAAGTGTTGGTTGCATTGGAGCTTGTAGATCCAGACTTTGTTCACCTTGATCTTTCTTCTTGAGGTATAAAGCTTGAATCTTGATGATGCATTTGTTAGATATAGCTAGTTTTGGGTGTTATGAGCTTTTGGTCACTTTAGTGCATAAATTTTAGATCTTGAAAGTTTGTGACCTTGTTATGGATAAAGTTGGAAACTTTATCCATATAAACATCATATTGATTCAGATCTAAAGGTTGGAGACTTGGACTTAATGGATTAAGTTGAAAAAGATGCACTTTTGATCCCTTTGAGACTTAAAGACTAGATCTTGGTTGTTTGGACCATTCTAATGGATAAAATTGGAAACTTTATCCATTATAGAGTTATTAAGAACGATGCAAATGTAATCTTGGACCTTAGTTTCCTTCCATGCATGATCTAGGTTGTCTCAAAGAGTTAAGAAGTTAGGATATTTGGTATTGAGCACTTAATAGCCATGTAAGATCGAAAAGTTGGAAACTTTATGATTGAGAACATCATTTGAGGGCTAGATCTGGATTTTTGGATGAAAGAGCTTAAGGATTAAGCTCTTAATGGGAAGAAAGGGTGGCAACCACGTACGCTAGGCATACCAAAAGGTAGGTTGTGCGTACGTGGTCAACCCCTCGACTCTGGTCAAACGTGTAGTATGACGCGCATACCTATTGAGCACGCCCAACGTACTCACCGATTTGACCCGATTGACTCGTTAACTTTGACTTTGAGTTTGACCAAGAGTTTGACCTAGCGTATTTTTGGTACATTGACTATAAGTTAAGTTTGGTCATGTTACATTGAATAGATGACCGATAGAGCTGATATTCGGAGCAATGTCACGTTCAGCAATCTTTCCAATTGAGAGGTGAGTCTCCTCATTGTAACCGTGGGTCAAAGGCACCAATGTCGACCCACTAGGATATGTTATGTGCTTGTTGTCTTTGTGACTCTTGTTGTATGCTTGTATGTCTGTTTGATATATGTATGTGGGGTGAAATAGACTCGTATGGTTGAAAAATACCGATTGAGTTGAAATAGACCCGGTACAACCTTGAGCTGACATATGAGTTGAGATAGACTCGGTGGTGAAATAGACCCAATACAACCTTGAGTTGAGGTATATGATGGGTTTTGGACATAAGAACATCCTATGTGCTCATACAAACCCTAATGCTTGGATCTAGGTTTCTCTATTGTACATGCAAGTTATCCAAGACTATAAACCCTAATTCTAGCATACAAGTAATCATATTAACATAAGAATGAGTTTAAGACATTACCTTGATTGTTATGTAGCAATAACAATCCAATTCCTCCTTGTATTGACTTTAGAAAGCTTAGAGTCACAAATATCACTCCTCTAATGGTTCACAAACACCAAGAGCAAGAGGATGAAGAGGAGAGAGGATGGAGACTGCCCTAAAACGTGTGAAACCCTAGAAGGATGCTTAGCCATGTTTTTAGGTCATAAGGGATGTATATATAGTTAGGCTATTAGGTTATCTAACAAGGAAACCCTAAATTGGATGCTTAAGCCCTAAGCAACCCATAGATTCCTTTCCTTAAGGCCATGGATGATTTCCTCATGGGCTTTCCCATAGAATTCGTCCACTCCTTAATATAAGGCAATCCTTGGCCAAAATTGTAATTATCTTATAATTACAATTCCAGTCCCTGTAACGCCCGTAGATCCGGGCTAATCAATTTAGAGGCAATATGGGTCGAAAATCAGCAAAAGATTATTTAGAATAAATAATTTTAACCAAGTTATAGTATATGTCACAAGGTTTCCGTACATATAAAGAACGCCGAAATCTGAGTTATAACGAAGTAGTTATGGCCCGTCGAAGTTTTACTGCAAAACCGACACGACACCGGGAAGCGTAAAAAGTGAATTTATGATAGAAGACTTTTTAGCCTTAGTTATCTAAACCAAAGTCGTAGAGTATGTTAAAATGAGAAAATCCGTAAAAAGAACGCCCAAATCTGACTTCGTATGAGGAGGTTATGATTTTTCAAAGTTTCAGCTTAGTAGTGTACAGCCCGAAACTCGAATTTTAGTTCGAGTGGTTTTTGGCTTACGCGACCTAAATGAGAGTTAAAGATCTCATTAATAGGAACTCAACAGTAAAAAGATGGATGAAAACGGAGTTCGTATGAAAGAGTTACGAATTCTTCGCGGTCATTTAACAGTCTAAACGCCTCCTACTGTTAAATTTATGATCGGTCGAGAATTAGCCGACGGAGCCAAAATGAAAGTTGTAGATATTATTTTTACCTACGCATGGATATAAAGAACGTCGAAA